TCTTGAACAAACTAATAGATCAGTTAAGTATAAGAAAAATAAAATATTTTATTTTACCTTCATTCCTTCAATAATCCTCATTTATGTAGATCTGAATCTACATAATATTCTTTTTCTTCTCTCTGAGGAACTCCTATTTTTTTTAAAGATTTTATCCATTTGAGAGAGAGAGACTAAGAGAGAGAGAAAGCACATGAGATGGGGGGAGGGTCCGAGGGAGAAGCAGACTCCCCGCCAAGCAGGGAGCCCGATGTGAGACTCGATCCAGGGACTCCAGGATCATGACCCGAGCCGAAGGCAGCTGCTCAACCAACTGAGACACCCGGGTGCCCTCTGAGGAACTCCTATTAACATTTCTTGCAGAGCTGATCTTCTGGTGACAAATTTCCACAATTTTTGTTTGTTTGAGAAAGTTCTTATTTCTCCTTCACTTTAATATAATGTCATTGGATACAGAATTCTAGGTAAGTGGATTTTTTTTCATCAATTTAAATATCCCATTCCACTCTCTTCTTGCTTGCATGATTTCTTTTTTTTTTAAGATTTTATTTATTTATTTGAGAGAGAGAGAGAGAGAGAGAGAAACAGCATGAGAGGGGAGAGGGTCAGAGGGAGAAGCAAGCTCCCTGCTGAGCCAGGAGCCTGATGCAGGACTCGATCCCAGGACTCCGGGATCATGACCTGAGCCGAAGGCAGTCGCTTAACCAACTGAGCCACCCAGGCGCCCTTGCTTGCATGATTTCTAAGAAAGGTCTGATATAATTTGTTTTTTTGTTTGTTTGTTTGTTTGTTTGTTTTTTTAAAGATTTTATTTATTTATTTGAGAGAGAGAATGAGAGATAGAGAGCACGAGAGGGAAGAGGGTCAGAGGGAGAAGCAGACTCCCTGCTGAGCAGGGAGCCCGATGTGGGACTTGATCCCGGGACTCCAGGATCATGACCTGAGCTGAAGGCAGTCGCTTAACCAACTGAGCCACCCAGGCGCCCTTGCTTGCATGATTTCTAAGAAAGGTCTGATATAATTTGTATCTTTGTTCTACTGGTGGGCTTTCTTTCCCTCTGGTTTCTTTTGAAATTCTTCTTTGAGTGAGACAGGAAGGCTGGAGAGGGCTGGGACTGAATATTTTCCTTCCCTCAGTAGGTTAGGGTGTATTAAAATCCATATTGGATACCCAGAGAGTAGACCATGTGAAGACACTGGAAGAAAACAACTGTCTACACGTGTGAGAGAAATGCCTTAGAAGAAACCAGCCCTGCTGACCCCTTGATCTTGAGCTTGTAGCCACTAGACCTTCTGAAGCCTAAGAGACCCAGACATCTACCTCCAAAACTCCCAGTATACAAGAGTATTAAAGGAGCAGGGAAAAAAGAGTATAAAAGGAACAGAATCACTGCAATGAAAACCCTCATCAGAGAAAATATGAATGAGAACCACCCAGGCTGCCTGGCCAGCTCCTACTGGGTGGGCACAGCAAGGACTCCCCAGTTATACTAATTGATTTTGGGATGTCAAGCCAACCTTGCACTCCTGGGATAAATTCCACTTAGCCATGGTTTGTGATTCTTTTTATATGTTAATGATTCTGTTTCCTAGGAGTTTGTTGAAGATTTTCTGTGTCTATATTTATCAGGGATATTGGTCTTTAGTTTTCTTGTGATGTGTTCACCTCGTTTGGTATCAGGGTAATATGGCCTCACAGAATGAGTTGGGAAAGCATTCTTCTCATTTATATTTTTTGTAAGAGTTTGTGAAGGAGTGTCGTAACGCTTTAAATGTTTGATAGAATCAACAGTGATGCCATCTGGGTGTGGACTTTTCTTTGTGGGAATTTTTCTTTATTATAAATTCAATCTCTTTACTTGTAGATCTATTCAGATTCTTTCCTTTGAGTCCATTTCAATAGTTTGCGTCTTTCTGGGAATTTGTCCATTTTGGCCAAGTTATATAATATTAGCACACAGAGGAGGGGGTCCGTTGTAGGTCCATTTTTTCCCTCATCTTTCCCACTCCTCCAGAAATGGTTCTTTCTCTGAGGCCAAGAGGTGAAGTGAAATGCTCAGAACAGGGAAGGAAGTATTCTGCCGAGGGTATAAGCACTCAAGAATGAGGCTTTTCAAAGGCAGGAGAACTGAGGGGAAGGGAACCCCCAAAGGAGGAGTGGGTGATGCTGAATACCCCAGAGAGACCTCATTAGCAGCCGCCATGAGGACAAAATTTGAGAGAGGATGAAATGCTCAAAGGTTTTCCTAGGTAGCAAAATCCCTGTGGGAGGAACCTTTGAGGGATTTCAGAGTGCAGTCTAAATTACTTGGAAAAGATTTCAAGATTGTGCCTTTGGAAGTGGCCCTGCTCAGCAGCTACACCTGTGGGTGACACAAATCCAGAGTGAAAAGGCACTGTTTGCCAATCACTCCCCCAATTCCTTTCCTTGCCTGCTTACCCCTTTCTAAGAAAGAAAGCCTTTGGCTGTCTCCACCCCCCCAAGTGCACCGCTCCACCTGCTCCCAACCTCCTCTCCTCATCCCCATGCTTCCACAACTCAGCTCATGGCAAGGCTCCCTGATATTGGCTCCTATTATCGAAGCCTTTTCCAGGGCTGTTAGCAGCAGCTGCTGAGAGTTTGTGGGACACAGAGTCCACTTAAGGAGGGTCCATCTTAGGAGATCATCATCCCGAAATCACAGGCCTCAGGGCCCTTCCCATGCTGATTATGGCAGAACACACCAGAGCAGATGCACGCCCTTCCTCCATCCCTAGGCTATCTCTGACATGCCCCTCTCAGTTCCTCTGACAAAAGGAAAAGAGCATGCGTTTCAAGGAAAAGTTCATGGTCAGCAGTGTTAAGTGCTAGGGAGAGGTGAGTGGACTCAGAACTGAAGTGGGTTTAGAAATCAGGATGCTCTCAGTGACCCAGAAAACAGAACTTCACAGAACTGGAGAGGTGGCAACAACCAATGCCTAGAATGGGCAAGGTACATGTGTTACAGCTTCACTCCTCTCCACCCTCAGGGCTGGAGTGCAATTACCATGCCACTTTGCAGATGAGGAAACAGACACAGAGAGGTTAAGTAACTTGTCCAAGGTGATCCAGCTGTTGGATGGTGGAGGCAGGATTTGATCCCCGAAGTTCTGGCTAGAAGATTGTGCTGTTGATGGTGGCACTTTCTGTCTGAAACAATAATGAAAGGGAGACAGTGCAGTTGTAGAGAACTTGCTTTCAAGAAATTATCCTGTGGAGAGGAAAAGTGAATGTGCATTTCGGAGAAACACAACACCAGCCAACGTGGGACATCTGTCTCTGCCTGGAGGAGTGAGGGTGTGCAGAGTGTTGCGGGGTTGGAATGGGGTTCAGTGAGGGGTCCATGAGGGGTGCACTGGGGTCTCTGGAAGTGGGGCTGTGGCCCAGGGCCCATGCAATGCCCGCCGAGCTGAGCAAGGCCCACATTCTGTCCACGGTTGAGCCCTGACACGCCTACGTTTGTTGTCCATTTGTTGTTGCTTTGGCTCTGCAGAATCCCAGCCACATCAGAGGAGCTAAGTCAGGAACCAGCAGGTCAAGGGAGCTGGGACCCCATACAGAGCTCATGACAGTAGCACCCCGCACCCCCAACCTCTCCTGGCAGCTGAGGCCCAACTCTGCTAAGGGTTTGTCCCTAGGACCCTGACTCCAAGGACACTCAGTCCACACCTCTGCTTTGCTGGGTGTTACCCTCACCATGGCCTGGAATAAGGGTCTTGTCCCCACTCTGGGCCTGCCCCAGGTGAAGCCGCTTCACCACACAGGGGAGGTGCACTGCCCCTACCTTTCAGTGCTCTGTAGGGACAGTGAGCTGTGTTCATGTTCACAAGAGTTCTTTGAAAGCACAAAGTGGCCCCTGCCCTTGTGTGCTGGCAGCAGCCCCTCCAGGCTCTCTGCTCCCAACCCTGCCCTGTGTCCAGAAGGCTTCCCAGTGTGGGGGAGGGTCAAATTAGATGGTGGGGACCTGTCAGGAATTTGGGGAGTAGGAGAGAAGGAGGGCGCTACCCTGGGGTAGATGTGAGTGTGGCTAAACAGAGCCATACCTCTGAAAGCCTGAGCCCACCTCAGGGAGACATGGGGTCTATTTGTCTTAAGTAGAAAAAAAAATCAGAGAGAAATGGGCATCTCTGTGAGTCCCCTCCTCCTGGTGGAGAGGGCAGCCAGAAGAGAGGATCCCAGGACTCTGGGTTCTCTCCCCAGGGGGCCGTTCTCAGGGCTCCTGGCAGATGCAGGATTGAACACAAGGATGGTTTATGGCCAGAAAGGCAGCAACAATCCCAGAATACCTGTTCTTGCGGACAGTTTCACAGAAATGCTCAGAGAGCTACTGTGCTCGTTTTCTGTGGCTGCTGCAAAAACTATTACAAACCTGGCTTAAAACAACACGCACTTATTCTCTCACAGTTCCAAAGGCCAGAATTCCAAAATCAGTTTCACTGGGCTGAGTTCCATGGGTTCGCTCGGCCACACTCCCCCCAGAGGCTCTAGAGGACACGTCCTCACCCTGCCTTTTTTGAGTTGCATTTCCAGCCTCAAGTGCTGTGTTCCTTGTGCTCCTTGGCTCCTGGCCCTTTCTTCCCACTTCAAGGCCAGCAGCCTAGCATCTTGCTTCGGTGTCACATTACCTTCCTCTGGGGCAAATCCCCGTCTGCCTCTATCCATGAGACTTGAGATGACATTTACAGCCCATCTGGATAATCCAGGACAATCTTCCCATCTCTAGACCCGGAATTCCATCACATCTGCAAAGCCCCTTTTGGTATATGAGGGGACCTTCAAGAGTTCCAGAGATTAGGACCTGATATCTTTGGGGTCTTTTATTTAGCTGACCACAGATATACTTACACAAACACAGTATTCACATGGTCACATAGACAGACTGAGACACACACACACACCTCACACAGGCAGACACTGTCAGTAGAACCCCACATTCATTTGGCCACACATGGTCCCGCATCAGTCACACACACTCCTCACCTCCAAACCTCTTCCCATCAGCCTGCTCTAGCCAGATTTGGAAGGCCACAGAGCTCTTCCCTGGCCCATGGGACGGCCTCCCTTCCCCTGATAATATCATGCAAGTCCCAGTGTCCTCTCTGCCTAAGAAGCCCTTCTTCACTGCTGCCTTCAAAATTTAACCTCTCTCGAGGCCTTAAAGCTGAAGGTCTTGTTGTGAGACAGCCACTTCCTCCACACAGTCCACCCTGCTCCGCAGTCACCTGCTCACAGCTCTGCGTCAAGGCCACACCCTATGGGGTTTCAGAGTACAGTAACGGGGGGAAAATGATTAGAAGAAGATCAGAGGTCACCCAGCAAAACTCTTAAAGGGTGACTGTGTGCACATGCCCAGTGCCTGAGTTTGGTTGCTTGGTGACTGGTGGACCGACATCTTAGTGCTGGCTGAGCTAGAGCACTTGGGCCTATGGCATGGACGGGGCTGGACAACTCCCCTAGAACTTGGCTCCAGGCAACTTGGGGAGAGGTCACCTTTCTGATCCCTGCGTCTGCCCCTAAGTGCTAGTCCTAGGGGCCAGACTCCATGGACCAGCCAGAGGCCTTCTGCTCCAGGTGAGTGCTGGCTTTCAGGGTGGTCACTTGGAAAGCCCTCTAAGGCCTCACCTCAGGCTGCTGACTCCCTGGGCTTCACACCCCCTTATCCACAACCTTCCCCCAGCAGCCCCCAGGCTCAGGATTCTAGGGACTCCATCTGCACTGAAGGCATCCGGTGGGTCTGTTCCCTAGGAGGGGCTCAGATTCAGCCCCTGGTGTCAGGCCCCTCGCCTGGACCCCACCAAAGGGTGCCGTGAGATGAGTATCACGGGGAACTGAGGAACAGTCTGGGCCAAGTGGTGAGTCTGGCTCTCTGCTGAGGCCAGCTTTGCTCGAGGCTTCCAGGGAAGGGAAGGGGGGAAAGGGAGGAAAGGGGAGAGCGCAGGCCCTTGTAGATACCTCATCTTAGGCTTTTGACCTGCCCTAGCCACGTGTGTGGGAGGAACACCGGAAGGGAGGTACAGAGCAGGAAGGCGCCCCCTAGCGCCTGGGTCATGGGTGGCCAGTGCCTGCCGCGGAGTGACCCCACTCACCACCAGGCAGCAAAGCCTTGGAGCAAAGCCCACCTACCTCCTCCATGACTTCCCTCCCCGCTGAGTGCTACCAAGCATTGGCCAGGAGTCACCTGGAGAAATGGGACCGCCTCTGACTCGCTGACTGTCGTGGGCGCCCCGACGCCGGGGTCGGGTAGGGTGGGAGGCGCGGCAGGGCTGGGGTCACCGTCGCCACACACGCGTTAACTCCTACCGCCCCCAGCACGGAGTCCCGCGCGGCTGCCGCGCGAGATCTCCTCCAGGCGGCGCTCGAGGACCTGAGCCAGGAGCAGCTGAAGCGCTTCCGCCTCAAGCTGCGGGATGCGCCGCTGGACGGCCGCAGCATCCCGTGGGGGCGGCTGGAGCGCGCGGACCCCGTGGACCTCGCGATGCAGCTGACCCAATTCTACGGGCCAGAGCCTGCGCTGGACGTGACCCGAAAGACCCTGAAGAGGGCAGACGTGCGCGACGTGGCGGCGCGACTCAAGGAGCAGCGGCTGCAGCGTGAGCGCGGGGTCGGGGGTTGCCAGGGTCCCTGCCGCTCCGTTCGCTTCCGCCTGGGCAGAGTCTGGGCCTCCAGCCGCCATCCTTCCCGCTTCCCCACCCGCAAATTCACCAGCCCCAGGGCTCGGATCCTGGGCGCTCTTGAAGGTGGCCCCAACTCCCTATTGCGGCCCCCGCCCCGCCCCTGCACATTCAGCAGGGCCTCACCACAGGTCTCCCTTCCAGGGCTCGGCCCCAGCTCCTCCGCTCTGCTCTCCGTGTCTGGTAGGTCTCTCTCCGTGCGAAGCACAAGCCCCAAGTTGGGGGCGGGGGGGGGGGTGGGGACGACGGTGACCCTCAGGTTTGCAGCACGAGTGTTCTCTACACTGCTTGGGGGTTCCCGAAAGCTGGTCCCAGGGAGGAGAATGTGTGGGAAGGCCGATGGGGAGAAGGGCTAGGGTGTAGCTGGGGAAGCAGACCTGAACCTAGTGGGTTGGGGAACCGCCCGAGAGGGTCAAGTGACGCAGCCCTTGTCCTCCCCACACACACCCCGTTCCCTTTACTCCCTCCGGTCCCCTCTCCCGGCCCCCACCAGAGTACAAGAAGAAGTACAGAGAGCATGTCCTGCAGCAGCATGCCAAGGTGAAGGAGAGGAACGCCCGCTCGGTGAAGATCAATAAGCGCTTCACCAAATTGCTTATCGCGCGCGAGAGCGCCACGCTGGTGGACGAGGCTCCGGGGCTCGCGGAGCACGAGGGGCCAGAGCGCGCTAGGCGCTCGGACACCCACACCTTCAACCGCCTCTTCGGCCGCGACGGAGAAGGTCAGCGGCCTCTGACTGTCGTGCTGCAGGGCCCGGCGGGCATCGGCAAAACCATGGCGGCTAAGAAAATCCTGTACGACTGGGCGGCAGGCAAGCTGTACCACGACCAGGTGGACTTCGCCTTCTTCTTGCCCTGCCGCGAGCTGCTGGAGCGACCCGGCACGTGCAGCCTGGCCGGCCTGATCCTAGACCAGTGCCCCCACCGCAGTGCGCCTGTGCGGCAGATGCTCGCTCGGTCCGAGCGGCTGCTCTTCATCCTGGACGGCGCGGACGAGCTGCTGCCACCGCCGGGACCCTCCGAGGCCGCGCCCTGCACAGACCCCTTCGAGGAGGCAGATGGCGCGCGGGTGCTGGGCGGCCTGATGAGCAAGACGCTGCTGCCCAACGCCCGCCTGCTGGTGACCGCGCGCGCCACCGCCCCGGGGAGGCTGCAGGGCCTCCTGTGCTCACCGCAGTGCGCGGAGGTGCGCGGCTTCTCCGACAAGGACAAGAAAAAGTACTTCCACAAGTTTTTTCGAGACGAGTGGATGGCGGAGCGTGCCTACCGTTTCGTGAAGGAGAATGAGACGTTGTTTGCACTGTGCTTCGTGCCCTTCGTGTGCTGGATCGTGTGCACTGTTCTGCGACAGCAGATCGAGCTCGGCCAGGACCTGTCGCGCACCTCCAAGACGACCACGTCCGTGTACCTGCTTTTCATCGCCAGCGTCCTGAGCTCGGCGCCTGCGGCAGATGGTCCCCAGATGCAGGGCGAGCTGCGCAAGCTGTGCCGCCTGGCCCGTGAAGGCATCCTCCAGCACAGGGCGCAGTTCGCGGAGGAGGATCTGGAACGACTGGAACTTCGGGGCTCTAAAGTCCAGACGCTGTTTCTCAGCAAGAAAGAGCTGCCAGGCGTGCTGGAGACAGAGGTCACCTACCAGTTCATGGACCAGAGCTTCCAGGAATTCTTCGCTGCGCTGTCCTACCTGCTGGAGGATGAGAGGGATCTCAGGGCACCGGCTGAAAGCGTAGGGGCGCTTCTGCGGGGGGACACCGAGCTGCGCTGCCACCTCACGCTCACCACGCGCTTCCTCTTCGGGCTGCTGAACACAGAGCGGATGCGCGACATCGAGCGCCACTTCGGCGGCGTGGTTTCAGAGCGCGTGAAGCAGGATGTCCTGCGGTGGGTGCAGGAAAAGGGCCAGGGCCGCCCTAGGGCGGCGCCTGAGGGGACCGAAGAGACCGAAGCTACGGAAGGCACCGAGGAGCCAGAAGAGGAGGAGGGCGAGCTCAACTACCCGCTGGAGCTATTGTACTGCCTGTACGAGACGCAGGAGGGCGCCTTTGTGCACCAGGCCCTGCGTGGCTTGCCTGAGCTGGAGCTGGAGCGAGTGCGCTTCAGCCGCATGGACCTGGTCGTCCTGAGCTACTGCATAAGGTGCTGCCCCGCCGGGCAGGCACTGCGGCTGGTTAGCTGTGGACTGGTCCCCGCACAGGAGAAGAAAAAGAAGAAGAGCCTGATAAAGCGACTGCATGGCAGCCTGGGCGGCAGCTCGTGAGTCAACAGGGCAAGATGGCCCCCCGGTTCACAGGCCCTTGGTGGGGGAATGTGTGCCTGTGCATCCATCTGGGCAGGGGGAGCACGTCCACAGCGGACGCCTGCCCCCCTGGAGGAGGAGGCCACCCCCTTGCAAGACAGTTTCCCAATGTCCATCTGTCCATCTCCTTCCCCAGGATGCCCTTGCCATGCCAATTCCCAGCCGTCCACATGCGAGGCAAACCTCCAAGTATGGCTGTGTGGCTCAGGCCCAGCTTTCTAATAAGTTCTGGAATACACTATGCCTACCGTGCCCTGAGCTTTGTACTTGCGGCTCCCTCCACCCAGAACACTCTGTTTGCTGCCTATTGTCAGTGCTTTGCCAGGCTCCCCAAGCTGGCCTGAGACCCCTTTGGCCCCAGAAGTGCCCCATAGACCACTGTATGCCATGACATCTACCCATGTCTATCCCCTTTACCAGACCCTCAGCTCCTTCAGGGCAAGTTGTCTTAGCTCCAACCCAGCGCTTGACCCAGAGCTCAGCATCTGTTGAGATAATGAATGTCAGGATGTTGGCAGGAGCTGGGGCTGGGGACGCCCACTGCACGTGCAAGGGTAGACCCACCTCAGAATGCGGGTGACATCCTCCCCCACTGGCTGGACTCACATAGACTGCTTCAGCGGGGAGGTGCATGGGGTCCCAGATGAGTGGTTTCACACTGGGTTTAGAGTGAAGAGGGTGGAGGGGTCCTGGCTCAGTTTGGGGTTGACGGCAGAGGCAGCTCCGACACCTCAGGACCACAGGCAAGAGGTAGGGACTGGAAGGGGACAGGTGGGCTTCACCTTGCTCTCTCTCCTAGCAGTTCACAAGCCACCATGAGAAAACCCCAGGCCTCTCCACTACGTTCACTCTTCGAGGCCATGACTGACCAACATTGTGGTCTGAACAGCCTGACGTGAGTGACCATGCCCCCACCCCTCCCTTGGAAGGGATGCAAAGCAGGATACTCTGGGCAGGGACAGAGGTACAGCCCTGTCTGGAAATGGCTGAGGGGACAGACAGAGCCTGTGGCCTCTGGTGTCCCGGGCTGGGGTCAATAGGCTGTGCCCACACAGGACGGAGGAGGGAGGAGGGGATGGGGGCAGGGGCTCCATCACCAGCTTCGGTGTTAGTTAGGAAGGAGCATTTGGCCCCAGTTTGAGTGGAAAGCATGGTGCGGCTAAGCATTCTGGGGGAGGGATAAAGACCAGAACATATTTTCCTTCCAAAGAAAGGAAACAAACAAACGAAGGAAGGAAGGAAGGAAGGTGCTATTGGAAAGTGCTGGGCAGCCCCTCTGAACTCTTCCAAGCAATGGAAGGGAGTATTCAGGGCACAGGCTTTGAGTCCAGGTTGTCTGCCTCTGAGCCCTTGGGCAAGTCAGTCTATCTGAGCTTGTTTCTTTCCCTATGAAATGGAGCCAGTAGATTCTGCCTCAGAGGGTTGGTATGTGAATTAATGTGGCAACAATGAGTCTATGACCTATCACCAAGTAAGCAGAAAGTAAGAGAAACTGTAGGAACTAGTACTGGTGGGGCATAGTGACATGGTCACTTAGCTTGGTAGGAGGGTATTCCAGCAACCTGGAAATAAGCATAGGCGGCCAAGAAGGTGATCGGCACATTTGGCCCATCAGTTCTGCCCCTAAACTGAATGCATGAAGTTGTTCATCACAGCATTATTTATAATAGCAAAAAAGTAGTAACAACACAACTGCCCAATTGTTAGGGACTGGCTACTTGAATAAACTATGGCCTAAACTATGGCCTACCTTAACTCTATGGACACCGATATGCAATTAAACATGTGGACAGTCAGATCTAAATGGGCTCATCAAAAAGCGGGTAGAGAATTGTGTCCTAAGGGAAAAGCGGAGTGTAGTCCAGCCCTTGCATATATGGCCAAGGCGCCTCAGGAACACATGTAGTGACAAAGAGTGACAAAGGATGGAGAAAACTCTTCCTGTGGAGCCAGCATATCGCCAGACTGAACCTCAGCCACCCGAGGAGCAGGCAGTTTGCAGAGCCGGGGTATAGCAAAGCAGCCAAGGGGCCTGAAGACAGACCCATGTGCCTCTTGACCACAGGCTGTGCCGCTGCAAACTGCCTGACTCGGTCTGCCAAGACCTCTCTGAGGCCCTGAGGGAGGCCCCCGCCCTGAGAGAGCTGGGCCTCCTCCACAACTGGCTCAGCGAGGCAGGCCTGCGTGTGCTGTGTGAGGGCCTGGCCTGGCCCCAGTGCCGGGTGCAGAAGCTCCGGTAAGACCTGGCCTGTGAGACACCAAGGGAGGGACAAGGGCGGGGCCGCGGGCCAGCGGTGGGGGTGGAGGGACAGTTTGTCCACAGCAGTCCTGAGGTTCAGCCTGCCCCCAGGGTGCAGCAGCCCTGCCTCCAGGAAGCGCTTCAGTACCTCATCAGCATGCTCAGGCAGAGCCCAGCATTGACTACCCTGGATCTCAGTGACTGCCAACTGTCGGGACCCATGGTAACCTACCTGTGTGCGGCCCTACAGCACCCAGGATGCCGCCTACAGAGCCTCAGGTAGAGGCAGGGGCGGGAAAGGTGCTGGGGACTCAGCCCCTCAACCGTGAGTTGGGCTGGGTGCCTGGGGACTTCCCCTAGACCCTGAAGTGGAGCCCCTCCCAGGGCCCCCCCAGTGACCACACTCAAACCCCGCCCCTGGAGACCCGTGCTCCAAAGCCCTGGCCCCAACTCTTGAATTCAGCCACTCTACTAGACCAAATGTCCATCTGTCATCTGGTGCCCATGGCAAGTCTGGGCCAGTGATCCCAATACCCTTTTACTCCCCAAAAGGCTCTGGCCCCCAGCCCCTAACCCCTCTTCCCAGCCTCTGATGCCCCTGACTAACACCTTCTGTCACCGTGTGCCTTTAGCACAGCCCAGGCCAACAGCCCCATCACTGCCCCCACACTGCTGCCCTGCTACTCTCCCCCCGACCCCGGCCTCAGCCTCCCCAACCTACTCCCACTTGTGTTCTGTGTGCACGGCTACAGTCTGACCTCCGTGGAGCTGAGCGAACAGTCACTGGAGGAGCTGCAGACAGTGAAGACGGCAAAGCCAGGTCTGGTCATCACCCACCCGGCACTGGACAGTCCCCCCGAGCCTCCCACCGGATTCAGCAGTGCCCTCTGAGGCCCCGAAGGCCAGTGGGAGGACTCTAGTCAGCCCTACGGAGTAGACTTCCTCATCCCAAGGGCAGGAGGATGTTGCTCTCAGCTCTGGTCAGTTCTTTTGAGCCTGAGGAGCTGGGGGCAGGCAGATGGGAGGCAAGGACACACAGGGTCCCTTACCTGGCCAGGGACAGGTCCCAGGACATGCCCCTCCCCTCACGCCCTGGGCACAGGTTACATCTCTGTCTTTCACACCCAGGGACCTCTCCTCCACCCACCTTCCTCTCCTGAGGCCCTCTAGCCTTCCCCCTGCAGATGCCTCCAGCAACAATAATGACGCTGAGAGCTCCCAGGCATCAAGCACCTACCATGTGTTGGCCTTTACCTGGTTGTGTTCAGTGCAGAGCGACCCCTCCACTGATCCCATCCCCATCTGCACTATGGGCCCCACAGCCCCAACAACTCTGCCCCTGGTCACAGGGGATCGAGCAGGGGCTGACCCCTGACCAAAGGTGGGCAGGTCACCATTCCACCCTAGGAATTTGGGTCTTGGCATTGGGAGCAAAGCCATCCCTGAGGCTGTGTGTGCCCAGTCCAGAGGGGTCCATTCACTATCTAGGTCTTCAGGGATGGAGACCAGGGGAGAGGGGAGGTAGAGCAGCAGCTGGGACTCTGGGTGGGAGCTGTGATGGCACGGCTGGCTGCCCCCCACCCCATGCACTGATAATACATTCTCCTTTGGATTCACTTCTGCTGATTTCTGTTGCACGTGGCCAAGCATCCTAGCAAGTGCTCGCAATCTTTCCTTTGGTCCCCAATCCCCCTGTATGGGGTGGGGTTGTATTCCCCATTTCCCAGATGAGGGAACTGAGGCTCAGGGTTACAGCCTGACTGCAGGAAGCTCTGAGGTGAGGCCTGGGTTTGACGAACAGGGCCAGCAGTGGACAGCCCCCGAATCCTCAGGTCTCTGCTCAACACTTCAGGGCTCGACCAGGTCCCGAGACCTCAGTCCAGGTAGATGAAAACCATGGGAGTCAGTGCCTTCACTTCTCGGGGGAAATTCCCTTCCATACTCACCTTTCAAATCCGGGCATTCATTCCACAAAACAGACAAAACCCCCCCCCCGCCTTAACCTGGCAGGAAGACAGACAATAAACATGTATAGACGGGGGCCAACCAGTGCTTTGGGGGAACATAAAGTACAGCAAAATGCGGGGAGCCGAGGTTCTCTGGTGACAAGTCCTGGGTCTGGGGAAGTCTACCGGAGGACAGGGCGTTTGAAAACAGAAGGGTGTGAGGCATCGAGCCCTGAGAGTGTCTTGACGGAAAGTGTTCCAGGCAAAGCAAGAGCCAACAACAAAGGCCATGAAGAGGGATGTCTTACCAGCTCGTCTGCCATGACAAAATCCCATAAACTGGGGCGCTTATCAAACACAGAAATGCGTTTCTCACAGTGCTGGAGGCTGGGACGTCCAAGGTCAAGGTGCCAGTCACTGTGGCGCCTGGTGAGGACCCTCGTCCTGGTTGCAGAGGGCTGTCCTCTTGCTGTCTCTTCACATGGTGGAAGGGGAGCAGGCTAGCTCTCAGGCCTTTTCTTGTAAGGTCTCTAATCCCACTCTTGACAGCTCTTGACCTAATTACCTCCCAAGGGCCCCACTTGCAAATACGGTCACACTGGGGATTAGATTTCAACCGATGGATTTGGGGGCACACACCCAGTCCGTAACAGGGAGCATGCCTGGACTGTTGTAGAAGCCGCGAGGAAGCTAGAGCGGCAGCAGTGCACTAGGGGAGGAGTCAGGTGGGGCCAGGGATGCTGGCTGGCCGGTCCTCCTGTGAGGTGGGCACCACCGCAGGCTTCGGAGCAGAAGGGTGGCTGTGGCTGTGTTAACAAGGACCGCAGAGGGCAGAGCAGAAGCACAGAGCGTGGACTGTGTCTATCCACGGGGACGGCTTGACCTCGGAGGTTGCAGTGGGGATGGTGAAACTGGCAAGTGCAGAACCACAGGACTTGTGCATTGGAAGTGGGTGTGGGGACAGAGGGGGCCTGAGCAGCTGGACAGGAGGAGTCTCCTGGGGGAGGTTGCAAAAAGAGCTGGTTTTGAGGGACACGTGGAATCCGAGTGTCTCTGGCTGGGCCCAGTGGTCAGAGCACAGGCGTGGGTCAGATCAGGGCCAGAGAGGCAAGGAGACAGGCCCAGGGCCCAGCCCTGGAGCGTCCAGGTGGGCAGGTGGGGAAAAGGAGTCTGAGAGCAGCGGCTGGGGAGAGCCAGAAGGTGGGGCCAGAGCAAAGGGAAGGACTTCTCCTGGAGGGGACCGGCAGCGCCACCTCTTTGAAGGGGGGACAGGGAAGCTCACGCAGAGACAGAGGAAGCCCAGACCGGAGAGGGGCAACCGCAAACCAAAGGCCCCCGTCCCCCTTGTATCCATCCCTGGACACACCCTTGAGGTCAGCGTTCAAACTGTGCTCCTCACGGAGTTGGCTGCGAGCACCACCCGCGCACCAGCAGCACCCGGTGTGCACGCGGACCCACGCGGCCGGCTGGCCTGCCCAGCTGCTCCGCCCCGGGGGTGGTGGCCCAGCTGCCCCGCCCTGCGCGGCACTGGGGGCGGGGACTGCAAGGCCTTCCGGGGACGGGGCGGCCGCAGGCTACTTCTCCCTTTGGCCAACGAGGGGCAGCGCCGAGTGGGCTGGAGCCTGGGGACACGCAGGACTGCGGTGAGCCCCAGACACCCTACCCGGCCTGCCTCCCGGAGCTCCGGCTCCTTCCCTGCCCCGGCCCAGGGTCGCTGGCCTCCGCAACCCCCCCGCCCCCACCGCCCCGGGACCGCGCTCCGGCACACACCCCGGCCCTCCCCCAAGCCAGCCTTCTTGAGGACTACTGTCCGGAAGACTGAGGCCTCCTCACTGCCCACTAACAGGTCGGGGCCCGTGGGGGTGCGGCTTGGAAAGAGCTGGAAGGACTCGAATTGAGGTCCTAAGGTGGGAGTTTGGGGACCCAGCTGGGTCTCTGGAGATCAGTATTAGGAGTTTGAGCATCTCTTAGGATTGAAAGTGTTTCCTGGGGTGGCTCAAAAGTGGGGTCTGTGAAAAATTGGGGCTGCCCAGGTGGCCCACACCCTCCCCACCAGCTGTCAGAGGCATCAGCCAAGTTCGTGGGGTGGGAGGCTTAGGGCTTTAACAGACAGTCCAAAGAGGGAGGCCCAGCCAATTGTGGGGGCCACTGACTCCCCCTTTTCCAGGCCACTCTGCTGAGCAAGCCTCTCCATGGAGGATGCCACTGAGGACCCCACCGTATTCACTGCCCATTCTCTGCCCAGTGACCCCCGGCTCTTGGCCACCATGACCAACACATACTTGGGCACACGTGTGTATCATGACACACTGCATGTGAGCGGCGTGTACAACGGGGCTTGCAGGGACACACACCGGGCCATTCTGCCGAGTCCCCTCAATGTCCAGCTGGAGGTCCCTGCAGAGACAGGAGATCAGCTGACCAAGACCTTTGTCCTGGACACTAACACAGGTAACCACCACTGTCCTGCTCCCCCAAGCTGAGCCATCGTTCTAGGTGAGTGGGGGAACCAACAGCAGTCCCATCCTGACACCTTCTAACTCAGGATGCCTGACTCAGAGAAAAGGAGGGTTTCAGCCCTGTGGGCCTCCTGAACTGCTGCAAGCCTGGGGTCCTCTGTGCAGCTGTAGCTCTCCAGACAGGGCAGTTGGGTCTCAGAGGGTGGATCCACCTCCCTGAGGGGCTGGTAGCTTTGTAACTGTCCTCAGTGGCCCTAAGTGGGGCATGCGAGTTGCGCTGACCCCCTCTGCCCATTCCCAGGCTCCTTTCTGCACACCCTAGAGGGCCCCAGCTTCCGGGCCTCCCAGCGCATCTATGCCCACCGCACGCTGCCTCACGTCATGGCTTTCAGTGTGTCCATCACCCGTGTGGCCGTGGGGAACTGGCCCATCACGGTGCTGCTGCAGTCAGCCTTCTCCCCAGAAAGCCCAGACCTTGACCTACATCTGGGTCCTGACTTCCAAGGAGCCCGGTGAGGAGGGGGTCAGGGCTGGCCAGGTAGACCAAGGAGGGAGCTGGTCCCTTAGACATGGCCACACTCTTGCAGGTACCTTTATGGCCACACACTAACCCCGGAGCAACCTGAGGGATCCCAGCAGGAAGTACACATGCTGTGGACACCAGTGCCCCCAGCCCTGACCCTTGGGGAAAGTGAGGAAGACCAGACCTGGGAGTTCCTGACCGTGGTGGGCGGCAGCCAGGCTGAGGCCCGAGCCTGCCTCACCGAGGCCCTGCAGCTGCAGGCAGAGGGCACTCTGTACACTGCCCATGCCCAGGCCTGGGCCCAGCTCTGGGCTGGCTGTGGCCTGGATGTTGTGGGGCCCCAACCCCTGCGCCAGGCCTTGCGTGGCGCCCTCTACTACCTGCTCAGTGCCCTGCCCCAGCCCGGGGTCCCAGGATATACCTGCCATGGCCTCAGCCCTGGGGGCCTGTCCAATGGGAGCCGAGAGGAATGCTACTGGGGCCATGTCTTCTGGGACCAGGTATGCACCATTCCACCCACCAGCACACAGCAGCCACAGATGGGGCAGCACATGGGCATGGAGGATACTGTGGCTAAGGGCATGGGCACGGCTGCTATCTCTGCTCGACCAGGGATGGGGGCTGTGACTGGGGAAGCACAGAGGCCATGGCGGAAGGGAAGGCTTCCTGGAGGAGGTGAGATCTCAGCCAAAGAATGTATAGGAGTTTGGTGGAAAAGAGTGATTCAGGCAAACGGACCAGGGGGTACAAACAGCAGAGCTGAGAGGGTGTGTGGCATCTGCAGGGGCAAAATGGTACCTCACCAAGGAAGAAGAGCAGCTGTAGGGGGGCTGTAAGAGCCATGGAGATTTGAACTGGGGAATGACACTAACAAAGGTGTACTCTGGGAGGACCCTCTCAGCTGCTGAGGGGAGCATGGGTGGAAGAGGGTGAGGCCTCGGACAGGAGTGGGAGCCAGGAGAGACTGGGACTTGGTGTCCATTGAGCGTGGGAGAGGTCCGGGATGCTACCGCCTCTTCACCAGATGCCTCAAGAAGCCAGTGCTGTGGCCCACTCTGGTGAGGTGGAGTCATTCACTCTAGTTCAGGCAGCTAGTGAGCAATGGTGCTCCATGCGCAGTTTCCAGCCTGAGCTCCTGGCGGGACCCAGATGCCTGCTGGGGAGGTGAAGCACTGGGCTGGGGACCAGACCCAAGGAGCATCTAGTCTGGAGGCTGGGACGTGGGATGGGCAAGTGTGGAGGGCCCAGGATGGGCGCAGGGTGGTCAGCAGAGGAAGAAGCTGGAAGGAGACAGAAGGGTGCTCAGGGAGGCAGCATGAGCAGCACTGGCTCTGGCCAAGGCAGAATGTGGGCAGGCAGGAGAGAGAGAAGGGTGTGAGAGCTCCTGAGCAAGGGGCCCTTCCTTGCTCTCAGGATCTCTGGATGTTCCCAAATATCCTGATGTTCCACCCAGAGGCCGCCAGGGCCCTCCTGGAGTACCGCGTCCGGACGCTGGGTGGGGCCAAAGACAATGCCCGGAAGCTGGGTTACCAGGTGAGGGGGACCCGGGCACCCACCCTACAGAGGCCCCTGAAGGGCCTGATGTCCCCACATCCCTCCTAGGCCTGCACCCATCACCTCAGGTTCCTCTCTGGGTGGGGCTGGGATTCCTGGATTCTTTTAGGGGCTCAGCAGCATCCCCCAGCCTGCACCGTACAGGTAGGAACAACAGTCTCGCTGGGGCCCAGCTGGTGTCCCCTTGCTACCTTGGTCCAGGGTCAACACACAGTGGAAGCTGGGCAGAAGCTGCCTGGGCTATGATGGGGACACACGGTGGGCACTCTGAGCCTGCAGGTCCCCATGAGGGCACCCAGACACTCAGTGCCCCCACCTCTGTCCTCCATGGCTGAAGGCTGAGAGCGTTGGGAAAAGGGTGGGCTATCCCTGTGCCACAACCCCCAGAATAGTCAGGTCTGCTCCATGCCCCCCCAACCCATCAGGGAGCCAAGTTCGCCTGGGAGAGTGCAGGTTCTGGTCTGGAGGTCTGTCCTGAGGACGTTTATGGGACCCAGGAAATTCATATAAATGGAGCTGTGGTGTTGGCCTTCCAGCTGTACTACCACACCACCCAGGTGAGGTGTCACCACGCCCACCAGGTATGACCACCCACCTAACGTGGCCATGCTCCCCTACCCCCACCATGACTTCCTATCTGGGGTCAGAACTTCACTTCTGGGCACTCAGAAGGGTGGGCACTGACAAGAAATGTAGTAACCAATGAGAACTACAGTCACTGGTGGCATGGTCCCTGTCCCATCTCCTGCTCCCCCAGGACCTGCAGCTCTTCCAAGAAGCTGGTGGCTGGGATGTGGTCAGGGATGTGGCTGAGTTTTGGTGCAGCCGTGTGGAGTGGAGCCCTGAGGAGGAAAAGTACCACTTGAAGGGTGAGGGCACGAGGCGGGAGGGATAGTCATGGGGAGGGGGGCTGGTCATAGGGGAGGGCCAGTGGTAGAAGGGAGAGGCATGGACAGCCGTGGCCGGGAGAGTAGGTGGCCACAAGTTGGTGGGGCAGGTGGATGCTCCTCAGTTCAGCATGTGATCTCTGGCACCTGATGTTGCCAGCCCCCCACTGGCTACTGGCATCAGGGGCAGGTCCCTAGGACCCCGCACTAAGCACCGTCTTACACTTGTCTGCCCAGGAGTCATGCCTCCTGACGAATACCATTCAGGGGTCAACAACTCCGTGTACACCAACGTCCTGGTCCAGAACAGGTCAGACCCAAGACCCCTGCCCATACTACCACCATGCAAAGGGCCAGCTGGGAGGGCTGGGGCTACAGCCCCCCTCTCCCTGCCTCCACCCCTAGCCTGCGCTTTGCTGCTGCTCTGGCCCGGGACCTGGGTCAGCCTGTCCCCAGCGAATGGCTAGCAGTGGCTGATAAGATCAAAGTGCCCTTCGACCCAAGGCGGAACTTTCACCCTGAGTTTGATGGGTACCAGCCTGGTGAGTGTACTCGGAGCTGCTTCAGGGCCCCTTCAGCCCTCCGACAAGACCTATGTCCACCCTGGATGTCCCCTACCTGACAGAGCAGCTCCCCCTTCCTGCTCCCTCCCCCGTTGGCAGCACCTGTCCCTCCCCAGGAGAGGAGGTGAAGCAGGCAGATGTTGTGCTCCTGGGATACCCCATCCCTTTCCACCTGAGTCCTCACATTCGCAGGAAAAACCTGGAGATTTATGAGGCTGTGACGTCCCCTAAGGGTCCTGCCATGACCTGGGTAAGGAAACTGCAGGGGTGTGGGGTGGTGGTCCTCACAGCAGCCACAGCCCTGCCCCACTAGCCTCAGTCTCCCCTCCCCATGCAGTGGGCTATGCCCCAGCATGTCCTCTGACCTCTGACCTCTGACCTCTGACCTCAGAGCATGTTTGCTGTGGGCTGGATGGAGCTGAAGGACCCCCAGCGGGCACGGGACCTCCTGGAGAGGAGCTTTGCCAACATAGCTGAGCCATTCAAGGTAGCCTCGTCTCGGTATCAGCTCTCATACTGACCACACCTGCCTCCCGCTCTGGCCCCTGGTTGGTAGGAGAGGGAGCCCAGTCTCAGGGGGAGTCATAGCAGGGTCAGGTCCCTGGTGACTCCTGCCTGACCTTGGGCCCTGCCCTTGGGAGCAGGGACAGCAGCCTCATGGGGGCCCGTATCCTGGGAGTCCGGGCACTAACTGCCTGGCCACGTGCAGGTGTGGACAGAGAATGCAGATGGATCGGGCGCTGTGAACTTCCTGACAGGCATGGGGGGCTTCCTGCAAGCGGCACTCTTTGGGTTCACAGGGTTCAGGTGAGTATAGGCCAGGCAGAGAGCAGTCACATGCCCCCCCACTTCCTGCTCTCATGAACGTCTCCCCTCCCCCCAGGATCACCAGGGCTGGCATGACCTTCGACCCCATGTGTCTGGCAGGGGTCTCTGGAGTGTGCATCTATGGCATCTGCTACCAGGGGAGCAAGCTTGACTTCTCCTTCTCCGAGGGCTCTGTGACAATTGAGGTCAAAGCCCAGGCAGGACCCTGGGCCCCCCTGCTGGAGGCTGAGCTGTGGCCGACACACACTCGACTCCCCCTGTTCCCAGGTAGGCAACCACCTCCAGACTCACCCAGGGGTCCAGGGCAGGTGAACCCCCCAGGGTAGCCCCCTAGGTATGTGCCCCCACTCCAGATGCCCCCCTCTCCCTGCAGGGCACAAAGTCTCCTTTCCCTTGTCAGCTGGACGGATACAAAGGTCACTCCCAGAGGCAGCAAGCTCTGCTCCAAGAGTTTCCTAGGAGAATTTTTTGAAGACATTAAATACCTGCCCCAGAACCCACAGACCCCTTGTGGGACACCGCTGGGTCCTCCAGCCGCACCAGTGCCCTCACCCTGGGGCTGTCCTGGGCACTGCACCTGAACATCCAGGGCTTCAGGGATGTCTCTGGGTCCTCCCATCTGGCCTCCCTCTGTGGGTGCCCCCAGCTGGCTGCATCCACCCCTCCTCAACACCCTCCCAGCTGATCCCCTCCCTCCTGCCCACTCTCCAACCAGCAGCCAGGCTCAAAGGCTCCAGGGAAAGTCTGAATTTGTTGGCCCAAAGTTCAAGGTGGTCTGCCTCTAGCCTGAACCCCTCCCCAGCCTAAACCTCCATGGACTGCAGCTTCCCCATGGCCTCACACTCAGCCACATCTGTGCCTGCCTTTCTGGGCTGACACCTGCACCTGTACCCTTCCCCAGGACAGCACTACGTGGGGTTGGGGTGTGGCCGATAGCTCTGCTGAGAAGGCAGACACAGGTGCAAGCCTCCATGTGGAGGATGGCAGGGGTGAGGGGCATGAGGCAGGACATTGGTCCCCTGTGGAATTCCTTGGGACTCTCTCAGTTACAGACCAAAATGGAACTTTGTGCGTCACACGGATGAGGTCAGGCATGGCTGAATCCAGGTGCGCTCAGCATCCTCAGTCTGTGGCTCCTCCAGCTTCTGGGCCACTTCAGTGAGGTCGGACAGTCCCCGTCACAGGTTTTTCCTCAGCCAAGAAGAGAGGGAAGTGGGTGCAGAACAAGACCCTGCACCTTCCCTCTAACCTGCCAGAAGGACCGGGGCCAAGGGTGCATGGGTTCAAGGCCACCAGCCTGGGCCCATCTGCCCTAACAGGCTGCCTCTCCTCCTGGGGCCTCAGCCCCTCAGCTGGCACATGCAACTTGGGTCCTTGGGGGTTTCTCAAGAATGAGGTGAGATGGTACCTGCTGCCAAAATTTTGGTGAGAACCGTGCCACCTACATGGCCTGAGGTCTGCCTGAGGAATTAAAATTCCATGCTGAAAAAGTCTGTCTGCCATAAGGAGCTGGTGCTCTCCTTCCTTCTGAAAGTGAGGGCTGCCTAATGGATGGGGTCAGGTCAGGAAGTGCAGTAAAGCGCCCATATAGAGCAAGCAGGTGGGTCTGCCACCCTCCTTCGCTCTGGCAACCCCCTCTTCTCTGTCTGTTCTTGGTGGAGAGGTAGTCCCAAGTTCTCCAGGAAGCAGACTCCAGGCATACAAGCTGTGATGGACAAAGCCATGTGAGGGAGTGGGGAAGAAGGGTGGGTGGAGGTGTCAGGGATCCTAAGGCTTGTCTCTGGGTTACTGTGGGGAGCAGCACATGGGAAGACAGATGGCCTCCAAGGGAGCACAACCAGCCAAGTTGCAGATCAGCATGGATGTCAGTGCTGGTCCCCAAGAGCATGTGACCCCAGAGACTGGAGCCAGCACCTTGGTAGGGCTTGCCCAGGTGCCCACAGGCTCTCCCTCAACTGCTGGACATGTGGCAAAGGCTGAGGCAGATCTCTAAAGCAGGGCATGGTGGCTGGGACTATTCCAGTAGAGCAGATGCTTATTTTCGCAGCCCTGGAGCCAGAGGTGGGCACAGACATCAGGTGGGGTGGTAGGTGGCCTTGTACTCACAGGACTGATATAGCCTGACGCTTCCTGCATATACACGCCATGTATGTGTGCCTCCATCTGTACACGTAGTGAGGTGACCCTCCAAGGGGGCTGTGGCAGGGTGGCACTGCACGTGTGCTGGCATGGCTGGTCAGGGGTCCATGGTAGCCAACTGCCTAAACTTGATCAGGGTCCCTCAGCCTGCCCGGGAGACAGCCTGGGATAAGGAGGTTGCTGGTAACTTTCCCCCATGCCCGTCTTGACCACACACTCTGTGTCCTCAGCACCTGGGCACAGGCCAGACAATCTTTGTTCCCCTCACCAAATGTGGGGACTAGCAGACCATCCCATGCTTGGGGACATGTACCTGGTCGCACACAAGCTGATCCCCACTTCTGACCTGTGCATCCAGCACAGGTGGTTCCCTTCTTGGGCCAAACCTGGAGCTCAGGATTGGCATGCTGCCCATCCTGGTCCAAGCACTGGCACACTTATCCTTGGTCCAACGTGGGACCAGCACCCGGCATGGGCCAGTGCACCATATCCATCCCCAGGCCCCAGGCAGCACACACCCCTACCTGCAGCGGCTGGCTTGGGGCAGCACACACTCCAGCATAGGGCTGGGACGCTGTTGGTATGTGGCCAGGATACCATCTCTCCTAGCACACTGGGGAGACAGCTAGGCCAGCCGTTGGCTGTCACAGAAGAGGGGGGTACTCTGAGGCTCCAAGTACAGCAGCTAGACAGGCCCCCACTCCCAGCCCAGGCAGATGGGTAGGCAAGGGGTGCTCTCTGGGTGGGGCGCTCAAAACCCCGAACCACCCTGCAGTTAAGGCCCCTGCAATTAGCCTGCCCTGTCATTGGATCAGCCGCAGGGAGGCCTAAGGGACCTCATCCCCAACCACACAGGGTGTGTGCATGGGTTTAGCAACCCCCCTCTTTGCCAGGCTCTGCTGGTTTCCGGGAAGGGGGAGAGTGGTGCACAAGGGAGGTGGAATGATACAAGGACGTGTACCTAGCACCAAGGATGCTCAGAAAGTGTCCTCACCTCCCAGTGTTCACCCTCTGCCCTACTGCACATATGTGTGTGAGGTTTGTGTGCATGGTTGATAGAAGAGTCACGCCTGTGTGCTCATGTGTCTGTGTCCAGCCTCACTGACCCAGGAGAGAGGAAACGCACTGTGGGGACTGAAATTTCTCAAAACTAAAGGAATGCAGGAGTCATAGGGACAGACAGAATGACCCAAAGAAGGAGGCTGGCACTTGCCTGACCCACTGACAGAAACATGCAGGGTGAGGACAAGCGATGTCCTCCTAGGGGCTCCCACTTAACACAAGTGCACACACAGATAGGGAAGGGCACACATGTTCTGGAAGAGAGGCCACTAAACCACAGTGCCCAGCAGGGCAGCAGAGACCAAAAGTCTGAGTTCCCAGACTTCATTCTAAAATACTCAGGCGCCTCCACCCCAGAAGCCACAAGCCACCCTGTGCCTGAGTGAAGGCGACAGTCGGAGCACGGCCCAGCAGACAGATGGGTCATCCTACCATCATGCTGGGGTCAGTCCAGGGGAGCCCCTAGGGTGGGTGGTTCCTCTCAGGAAGAAGCCTTCTCCCACCCCAGCAAAAAGCCCAGGAGGCACTTTCTGGAACCAGGTGCTTTTAATTGTGAAACTAAGGCTGAGTGAGTCTGCTGAGTGAGGAGGGAGGGTCCAGCCTGGGTACAAGGAGTTAGGGGAGTGGGGACCATCAGGGTTGGAGTTGAGGCCAGTGGGGTCCAAACAAGGGATCTTCAGGGTCAGCATTAAGTGCCCAGGCTGGGGTGGGAGGGGTGGGCATCAGGTCCTGTGGTGGAGCTGGGGTTCCAGGGGGTCAGGGTGGAGTCCCTGGAGCAGTGCCCTGGGGGTTAGTACTGGGGTCAGGGTCTGTGGGTCAGGATGCAGACAAGGCACAGCCTGTCAGTCATAGTCCGAGTCGTCAAACTTGGTGCTAAAGAAGGCGGCAGAGTCCTTGGCCAGCCGGGAAAGGTGCAGAGCGCCGGTCACCACCAGCGCCAGGAGAAGCAGAGGCGGCACCAACGCCCACATCGTGGCCAGGATGTTGTAGCACTTGGCTTTGGACCCCAAACGCCGGGCTGCCTCCAAGTCTCCAGCCACCTTCTGGTCTCGGGCCTGTAGACCAGTGGTGGGGCCAGGTCTCTACATACACTGGGGGCCCTAGCTCCTCCCACCCCAGCTGTGGACTCAGAGACCAACCTGGGCCAGCATCAGCCTCCAAGGACCCTCCATGGGTGGAGAGTCCTGGAGTGCTGAGGACCCCAAGGAGCTGAAGTCAGAGGGGCTTTGGTCATAGGAAACCCCAGCATGTGAAAAGCCATCTGATGAAAAAGACCCCCTTGGGTAACCCCCCAACAACTCTGTGCCCTTCTGGAGGGACTAGACCCCCCCCCCAAGGACAGTACCCCTGCCTCAATGGAGAAGCCCTCATGAGGTGAAGAGCTTGTCCACCGCCTGGCTAACGGAGTGGCCTTCTCACAGGCATCGCCCCTTGGAGAGGCCCTCCCGCCACAAGCCTCTCAGGCCCTCTGGACAAGCAACCCCCCCACCCCCGTCCAGGGAGACCCCCGCCCGCCCACCTTGATGGAGTAGGCCAGCGCCAGGAAGCCGAGGCAACACAGGTTCAGGTAGAGGGTGCTGAACACCGACCAGATCAAGTGGTCTCGAGGTGGGGGTCTCGGCGCCCCCAGAGTGAGGGCCGTGTGGGCGGCGCCGTCTGCCTTGCGGGACGTCGGGGCCCGGGGGTCCTCGCGGGGGTACGACGTGTCCATGGGTTCCAGCGCCGTCTCCTCCTCGCTCGGGCTCCGGCTTCGAGGGTGGGCGCCCGGGGCCGCTTATAGCCTCGCCGCTGCCCTCCCGCAGCCCGGCCCGGCGCCGCCCGCTAAATATAACGACAAATTACAGCCCGGCGCGGAGAGCGCGGCCTCGCCCCGCCCCGACGCCCCCCCCCCCCCCCGCCCCGCCGCCCGCCGCACGAGCCCCTCCTCCGCTCCGGGAGTCCCCGCCGGCAGGCGGCTGGGGCGAGGGGAAGGGGCGTGCGCTGGCTGCAGACTGCCCACCCGAACCCCTGCCCCACGGCCAAAAGGAGTCCTGGGGCTGTGGGTGGGGGCATGTCGCCTCAGCTGCGGAGAAGGGCTGGAGACCCCCCAGGCTTGGGCTCCATCCCCAGAACCCAGAGTTCAGGTTCTGCCAGGGATCTCCTCGGCTCCACCAGCGGCCGGCCTTGGCACTCCAGAAGTCCCTGCCCATGTGCTGGCGGGAGGAGACCGGACACAGCAGGACGGAAACGGGGCTGTGGCACTATGGGGGGTTCGCCAGAGGAGACCCCAGCACCATTGCTGCTAGGTGCTGCAGTGAACTCTCCGTGATCTGCTAGGGGGTCGGCCCTCCTCCCTCATGGGTAGACAGCTGCTTCTCAGCCTCCTTGGCTGGTTACTCCTGCCCTCCTGAATCCTCAGAGGTTTGGAAGGATGAGCTCAGGGATCTGTTTTGGGCTCCCTCGGAGGGCCCAGAAACCCCTTGGCTGTAAATGCCACCTATGTGCCAATAATGGATATTTACAAGGGGCCAGACTTCACTGAACCCCAGACTCACATACCTAAGTACCTACTCTGGCAGAAGGGCTCCCAGGGTCTCCAACCTAACTTTTCCACAAGACCTCAGGTTCCTGTCCCCCAGCCTCTTGTCTTCATCAGTTGGGGTTGTTATTAAAAGTACCGTAGATTGGGTGGGTCATAAACAATAGAAATTTATTTCTCACAGATCTGGAAGCAGGAAGTCAGATCAGGAAGCCATCGTGGACAGGTTCTGGTGAGATCCTCTTCCTGGTTGCATATGGCTAACTTCTCACTGTGTGCTCACATATTGGAAGGGGCTAGGGAGCTCTGTGGGTCTCTTTGATAACAACACTAATTCTCTCATGAGGCTCCACTGTCATGACCCAATTACCTCCCAAAGCCCCCACTTCCTACTACCATCACTTTGGGCATTAAGATTTCAAGAACAAATTTTGGAGGGCACAAACCAGGGGCCCCACTGAGAGTTTGACTTGGGCCTGCCATGATGATTCCTTGGACCCATTGTGCCCCACCAGAAAGAGGGGCCAGGATGATGTTTTGCCTGTTGAGATACTGTGATATGGTGATTTATATTAAGAAATATATATTTCAGGGGCGCCTGGGTGGCTCAGTTGTTAGGCATCTGCCTTCGGCTCAGGTCATGATCCCAGGGTCCTGGGATCAAGCCCCACCTCTGGCTCCCTGCTCGGGGGGAAGCCTGCTTCTCCCTCTCCCACTCCCCCTGCTTCTGTTCCCTCTCTCGCTGTCTCTCTCTCTATCAAATAAATAAAATCTTAAAAAATATAT